AAGTCTGGCTTTGAAGTTGCTCTTTCTGTCCCTCCCCATCCTGCCATGGGATGTCACCTACCTCTGTTGCCTGATCACAGTGATCACAGAATAGCAAGTCCTGTTACAAATAAGGCCATGGGTGGGGAGTGTAAAGCTTTTTCCTTAAAGGAACCACGTTTGGGCAGATCCCCAGCCCAATTCGGAAAAGCCAGTTTTATTCAAAAGGCACCCAAAGAATATGGTGGTGGTCAAACACCATTTGTAATGACAGTGATTCTTAGGGTCAGTTTAACTCATGTTCAGACATTAAGGCTCCATTCAGTTGGTGTTTGGACCCATGCCTGGAACTTCACCAGGTCCTAATCAGTTACACCGGTTTAACAGTTGAAACTTGCAGAAGCACGCTGTTGTTGTTGTTGACAATGATAGCGTTTTTTGGAAAATTCTTCTCAAGCATACCAGCAGCGTTTTCCTTGTGCAAAATTGAGAAACGAATCTGCTCTTGCCTTTCCGGCTCCATCCTGCCCCCCACCCCCAAACAAACCCCACATCTGGTTTAAACATGTTGTTTAATTCTTTCCAGAAAGAGAGAGGGAAGGTGGGAAGGGAGTTTTCCTTCTTTATACCTTTTTGGTAGTAGAGTTCATTGTCCTTTCTGTTCTGGGCGGGGTGGGTTCCTGAGTAACGTAAATACACCGCAGATAGGAAGCAGTTGGCGTGCAGCCATGCAGCTGGATTATCCAGACATCCTTCGCAGCTTTTAGTGCAACACTCTATCCCCCTGCCTTGTTTTAAATAGCCAGTTGCCTCAGTTAATGCTGGCTGTCGGGGTTGTTGCCAGAGGAGATGGGGGGCTTCTGTCCACCCCTCACCCCAGCTCACACAGCCCATCACAGAGAAGCCTGTGCCCTCAGGAAGGGGGCATAGGAGGAATCAGGGCAGGAAAGAGGATGCTGCGGACCACAAGCCAAGGCCAAAATTTGCAGCCCCTGTAGTCTGGAAGCCAGGGAGTAGGGTATTTTTTTGAATCTCTAATAAATGAAGACTTTTCAGAAATAAGTTTATGGCACTGACATAAGTAATGCAAATTTCCCTTTTTTGTGTGTTAACTTAATCCCTTCAAGGGAAGAGAGAAAAGCAGGCAGCTGCAACAAGAAAAAAAAATAAAAGCATGTTTTAACCAGGGATGTGTAGAGTTTCAGTTATTCACCTTGGCCATTTCCTGTTGGGATGAACCCACAGTCCATTCACAGAAGATTTGCTGTGTTTCATACTGGAGAATTACACATCCTGAGACCCCTTAGTTTTTCTAGAATAAATGGGGAATTGGGGTGGTGGGAGTATATTCTCAAATTGTTTGTATGTAACCAATCTAAACAATTACTATAAAATGTTCTTAACCTCTCTGATCTAAAGGAATATGCATGTTGAATCCTGAGATGAATAGATCAATGATAGAAACCATGTGATTTTTTTAAAAATTCAATTTTCCTATTAATGAAAAGGAAATCTTTACCCTATCCCAGTTAAGCTGTTGTGGCTTATAAGCAAATTAAGTATTGAATACTTAACAAAATCTCAGAGATTTTGTTAGCTATAAATGATTTTTTAAAAAACTTGTTTATAAATATTGTGTATTTAACAGACTCATGGCACGATCTACTGCATATAAGATACCACTCTAGGCTCTGAGGATATAGCAGTAAACTGAAAGGGCAAAGTCCCTGCTCACATGGAGTTTGCATCCTAGTTGGGAAGAGTGGGCAGACAAATAGGGCAGATGTTGATTTAGTAACAGGTAGAGAAAGAAAGCACGGTGAGAGGTTATAAGAGGAGTGGAAGGTGCTACCTTACATGAAGTGGACAGAGACGTCTTCTCTGATGAAATAACCTTGGACAGAGACCTGAATGAAATAGGACATGAGCCTAGTTGGTGTGTGGGGAGAAAAGTGGGAAATGGGGTTTGAGGTGAAAGAAGGAGCAAGTGCAAAGGCCCTGAGGTAGGAGTGTGCTTACTGTGGAGGACCGTCAAGCACAATGGGGCTGAAGTGGAATGAGCAAGGAGGAGAGTAGTAAGATAAGCACTAGATTCTGACTTTTACTCAGAGTAATATACGAAGCTATTGGAGGGTTTGTGTAGAATGTCTTAATCTGACTTACCTTTTGATTTTCTTAGCAAGTTGGGCAGGCGTGGAAGTCAGGAGGCCAGTTGGAGACTGTTAAAATTGTCTGAGAGGTGTTGTGGGTATATTTCAAAGGAAGAACCAGTAGCATCAGAAAGTGTTGGGAATCAAGCGTTCAATCTTGAACATGTTGACTGAGGTGCCTACTGGGTGCCAGAACAGAGAAATCACATAAGCAGTTGGTTTTACTGATCCAAAGCTTGGGGAAGAGGTCTGGGTATGGTAATGTGAACTGGGGCACTGTGAGCACACAGAAAATATTTCAGTGGAGTTGTTGGCCCTGGCTTGGATCATGGGTGGTTTGGCCACGTTCACAGGAGAAAAGGCAGCAAATACTGGGACTGACTAGTAGGCATGCTGGTGGGCACTGGTGCAAGATCTCTTCTGAGTGTGTCTATTTTCTTAGTGAAATTAAAGCAAGCTCATCCATCACCTGAGAGGGAGGGGGCAGGAGGACATGTGGAACAATCTTCTTGGGGATGGATCAGGGAATTGTAGCAGGTTGCTGGGTGGACCCTCTTTGAGTTTAGTGGCAAGGACTTTAAAACTCGACCTGTGAGCATCGTAGGGTGGGTTTTTCCTTCTCCCCATGTACAGCAGCCTGAATAGGGGCATGGAGTTAAGTAGACGATAGAATTTCCCCAAGATTTGGAGTTTGGCCAGGCAACTGCAATGAGGAAAGCGGGGGCAGATGTTAAGATTTTGTACAGTGATGTCATGACAGACCATGGGACTCGAGTTGGGTAGACAATCAAATGAGAATTTGCAGGATGTGGGGAACAGGGAACAACAGAGGGTCGGCCCCAGTTGGGTGAAGAGTCATTGGAGTCTGGAGAGAGTGAGCTGCACCCTTCGGAGGTGGTGGCTGGAGAGCAGGATGCTTAAGACTGACAAGGTCAAGCGTGTGACCTAGGCATAGGTGGCTCAGGTTGGGTGTAAGACAAGGGCACTGGAGGAGAAGAGTTCCAGAAACTGAGAGGTCAGAGAATTGGAAGGATCCTCTGTGTGAATAATGAAATTACAAAGAATCATGCCAGGGCTCATGGTGAAGAGATGGAGGGACAGTGAGCCCACTTACTAATGTCTTCAAGGAATGAGGGGATGTGACCCTGAGGCCTGAGGAAAATTGAAGCAGGGCAGTGGGAGCATGGTCAGACTGTGAACTTCGGGGGAACTGGAGAGAGAGCCAACAGCCTGCTGCAGAGGTGATACCCGACCCCACATCTAGGCTCAGCGGGCAGGATGCGGGAGGGAAAAGGCAGCCATGTGAGTGGCCGCGTGACTCAGCCCAGAGCGCGTTTTCATTTAGGTTAAGAAAATGGAAGGAACTTACACGAGGTACCTGGAGTAGTCAGATTCCTAGAGACCGGAAGCAGAATGGTGGTTGCCAGAGGCTGGGAAGAGGGGAGGATGGGGAGTTAGTGTTTAATGGGTACGGAGTGTCAAGTTGGGAAGATGAAAAAAGTTCTGGACGTGGATGGCTGATGTTCTGGTGATGGTTGTGGAGCAGTGTGAGTGTACTTCATGCCACTAAATGGTACACTTAAAATGGCTAAAATGGTCAGTTTTCTGTCGTGTGTATTTTACCAAAGGAAAGAAACAAGTGAAAGGAAGGGATGAGGAAGTAAGCCAATGTCAGACCTCCAGTCCCCTGGGGTACAGTGGGAGGGGAGCTGGGTCACAGAAGCCCGTGAGCTGCAGGGCGTGGTGGGAGGTCTGGGTGGCGCCTTTGGGGCTGAGTGAGGTGAGGGATGTGGCGCAGAGGGACCCTGGCATCTAAGTGGTCTCCTGCAGATTGCCTGGCCAGACTCTGAGCATTGGGCCTGGGGGGCGGAAAGAAGGGGTTCTGTGTTACTCTGCATCTTTGTTTCCCTAGAATCTGGCACAGCGCCTGGCTCACAGAAAGAAGATGGGAATATACATTTGAATGATTAAAGAAAAGAATGTTATTCAAAGAAAGAAAACAGCAAGTGCGAATTTAATGGCCTAGCCAAAAATCCAATAAATTTCTCGAAAAGTAATGAAGAATGAAAAGAAGCTAGAGTGGGTCTCTGGAGGAGAAAGAGGATTTTTGGCAGATGTGCAAAAGAACTTATTGCGAAATTGAAGTTTAGACTGGAAAAAATAAAATCATAAGCAGAAGGCTACACTTGTGTAAAGGGTATTTGAATCGAAATATTTTTCCACCTCTATAAATGATCGCATGGTGAATCTGTGATGTGAGAGTGGACTGTCCTCTTATGCTAAATCAGAAGCTAAAGCTTATAAAATGTTAAACCTTGGTCATTAATTATACACCAAGTCTTAAGGGTTGAAATCAGAATATCCTCTTAAGTTAATAGATTTGTCTTTCCTAACTTACAGATGCCAAACTGTAGATAGCAGTGCATTTGTTTTATTATTAATACTTACACCTAGAAACTGGAAAATGTTATGCCTGCATACATCCTCAAAGACTCACAAATATTTTTTAATGGGACTGGGCATCTTTTTTTTTTTTCTAATGTTCTTTAAAAAATTTTGGGGGGGTGGTAATTAGGTTTTTACTAATTTATTCAAATGGTGGGTACCTGGGACTGAACCCAGGACCTTGTGCATGCTAAGCACCTACTCTACCACTATACTCTCCCCCTACTAAATGCTCATTTCTATTGAGTTCAGTTCTATTGCTTTTCCCCTGAACAGTGAGATGGGCTACCTTTAAGGTTGCTGCTAGGTGTCGCTTTTCTTTCAATGAGTCCCGAAAATGCTGGCTGTGGTCACCCTACACACTGTGATACATGTCCTCCAGCTCCAGACCATTGTCATGTCCCCTTCTTCTTGTTGTCGTTTTAGTGACAGCTATATTGTGCGCGTCAAGGCTGTGGTTATGACCAGAGATGACTCCAGCGGGGGATGGTTCCCACAGGAAGGAGGCGGGATCAGTCGCGTGGGGGTCTGTAAGGTCATGCACCCCGAAGGCAATGGACGAAGCGGCTTTCTCATCCATGGTGAACGACAGAAAGACAAACTGGTAAATGGCAGGCGTGCAACGCATGGGTTAAAGTGGCAACGACTGATTTCTTGACGTTAAATCATAGCCCTTTTCCTGTAGGTTTCTTTTTTCCCTTCTTTCTCTGACCTCAAACTCTCGCAAAAGCTTCCAAAGTTAGAACTCCCGGAGCTGGTGCCAAATTGCAAACTGGAACCCTGGCTTTCTAGTGGAGTCACTTTTTAACCACACACCATAAAACTCAGATGCTTAGGAGTCGTGCATGTGGCTGTCCTGTTTGCGTCTTTGATTAGTTAAGCTGTCTTTCTGTCACAGTAACGAGATGTTCAAAACAAAAGTCTGTTCTTTATTACGAATCACACTGTAGTGAGCTGTGAAGTCAGAGTCTTTTAAACGGTAGGATTTATTCATGGAACATGCCATCCAGGTTTGGAGGGTGGAAGCTAAAATGTAAAGACGAAGTCATCTAACATTTTGTTACTTCTGAAAAAAAAAAGGCTTATCTAAAAGGTACTGCAGCTTCTATTTCTTAAGATAATGAATAAAAACATGTTTGGGAAAAGAAAGTAACAAAAAGCAGTGGCCTTAAACACTTCTGTCCTAATCCTGCGTGCTTAAAAATAGGCACTTTGGAGAGTAATCGTTCTCTCACAGCGATGGGGGCGTTGATAGTTTATAACAGAGAGTTTCGTGGAGAAACTTGGATGGACAGTTCTATGTTATGAAGGATTCGATGCTAAGAAGGAAAATTGAGTGTCTGTTTTTAATTGGTGGCCTTGAACCTGGGAGAACATGGTCCTATCTGTATTTGATCCAAGAGCGTATACTCCAAAGCCAACCGTTGATTCAGAACGCACAGGATCTCAACAGGGAAAATACAGACACCACAGGGATACGTCAGTGGTCCATTTGAGACCCTTGACAGTGGCATCTGTTGAGTTTTATGTGCCAAGTATACAAATTTAATCTTCTTTTGCAATCACTTCTTAATGTTTATTAAGGGCACAAAATAGATCTGACAGAACAATTTCTAAATGTTATTTATGGGGGATCAGAAATGATATTTTCACACTTGATTCATTTCTGAAAATGAATGAAAAATGTAAAGGGAGAATGTAGCTCATTTTAAGAAATGTGCCCATTCAAGAAATTCCTTATGTCGCAGCCAAATAAAACACTTGTTTATCAGATAGTCACAGTAAAGGCAACATAAACACTAACAAGAAAAAGTAAAACAACTGCCTTTCATCCAGCGTTTGCCTGAGGGCTAAGGACAGTTGTGGCCTTTCAGTTAAGTTGTGTCTGTCACTGCATCCTTTACGCAGCCTTTATAATTATAACCGAAGAGACTTAAGATTCAGAAAGACTCCTTGTTCTGGGTGACCAACCCCTCTTGGGGGCCGGGAACCAGTAATTGATGCCCTTTCACTCTGACCCAAACAGAGCCAAAGTCCCATGTGCACAACCACCTTTGGCCTTTTGATACAGTTTTTCCCCCTTGTGCCTATTTTTATTTTTACGTAGCTGTAATCAGAGCTCGTAAAAAGTTTTGGATCTCATTTGTTTTGCTCTAACTTTCTCATAAGAAATTTTCCATGTTGCCGGTATCAGATCGGTGTTCCATTGTTTGGTGATCTCCTTAGTGTCAAATACTAATACTCTTTCCCTGCCCACCCCCCACCTCAGTATTATTTATCTGCATTTTCCACAATTATTATTTTCTTGGAATAACTTGGGGGGGGTCAGATTTTTATGACTTTTGATACTTGTACAAGGAACTGCTACCAGCATATTTGAGAATTTCCTTTAATACATTGAAGTCAGATATTTTAAATCTTTATCAATTTGATTAGAGTAATGTAGTATCTTATTGTTGGTTAATAATGAAATCAAATGGTTTTTTGTTGGTTAAACAGTTATAACTGAATTATCTTTTGGTGTCCTTTGCATATTTACCTTTGGGGGGCCTGATTGATATGTCTACCCTCCAAGTTAAATAAAGTTATTAATCTTCATCTGATATATTTGCTGCAAACATTTTTTTTTATAATCTGTTGCTTGCCTTTTTAAATTTTAGTTGGTGTTCTTTTTCTACAAAAATTTGGCTAGAGAAAACTTTTTCCCTTTTTTATTTTTATTGTTACTACTTTTGTGTTCACAAATTAGCTTACGTAAATAGTTACATGTTTTTAGTTCTGTTTTTTCCTGGTATTTCTGTGGTTTGTCATCGATTATGTCAACCTCAGATGGCCTTTAGATTTCTTTTAAATCATGAAGGGCTTTTTCTAATAGAAACAGTGTTGGTAATAGTTTTTCCAGTGTAGTACAGTTCTAGAATTCAGCACATTGGGGTTTTTTTTTGCTGCTTTTATTTGCATTCTCTGTTGATGTCTGTGAACTTAACTGCCATTGTTTCTTCAGGAAAAGTCTCTGTTCCGAATAATCTATTCATAAAGTCATTATTTGGATAATTTTTTGTCGGTTAGAGACAATCAGGTTTTCCTGAGAAAGGATATGTAAATTAAAAATTTCTGAGCTGACTCTTATTGTGAATGGACATGAGGATTTACTTCTTAAATGACTCCTGTGAGAAATCACCTTATGAAAATTAATCACAAAATCTAAACCAAAGGTTGATCATTCCTGTGCAGGTCTGTGAGCACGCTCACACACATTTGGTGGGAGCTCCAGCTGGCAAAGCTCTTCAAAAGGCAAAATTTGGCAGGATATTAATTTTAAATATGTATTACCTTTTACTTGGCCATCTCACATCTAAACTATCCTATGGTAATAGACTTACAAAAATCTATTGACAGCTACAATTTTCAGACATTTTTGGTCTCAGAATCCCTGTCTACTCTAAAAATGTGGTGAGGAAAAGCTTTTGTTTTGTGGGTTCTAGCTACTACTATTTAGTTTATTATAAATTAAAACAAAAACATTTTTTAATTAAACAGTAGTGTTAGCATAAATGACGTTCTTTATGGCAAATAATTATATAACTATTTTCCAGAAGAAAAATAATTAAAAGAGTAGTATTACTTTGCATTTTTGCAATGCCCTTTATTATCTGACTTAATAGAAGCTAGCTGGAGTCTTGCTTTCAGTCTGTTGCAGTATGTTGTTTTGATTGAAGCATGTGGAAAAAAATCCAGTCTCACACAGATACGTAGTTAGAAAACAAAGAAATAGTCTAATAGTCTTTTCAGGAAATCACAAATATACTTCTTTGGTGCAACACGAAAACTCAGAGCTTATAGTGGTTGCTTAAATGTGGACTCTGAAGCCTTATCGATGATCTTTAAATCCTCTGTTACTTTGAGATCCACTGGTTTCTCTTCCTCTTTGCATGGAGCTTTTACTCATCCCTGATTTTGTAACATCATGCATTGGTCATTTGGAAAATAATAGTTTAGTAAATTAAACAGATCTTCTAAATATTGATACATTTAATTCTGTAGTATCAAAAAAAAAAACACATTTCTTAATCTCACCACTGATGTCATTAGAAAAGTCTTTAAGTATTGGGAAGCTGTCCAGAATTCTAATTTTCACTTGAAAGTGCACATTTTTTTGTTGGCAACAAATATCTCCTTGTTTTCCTTGAGGTGATGGGCATACCGTGTTCATCTTCAAGAAACTACTGTCTGCCAGGTACCCAAGTCTGAATAACCACAGCTCATCTGTTCCTTGTTCTTTCATGTAAACCTGGTGATCCATGAGAAAAGCAATTAGTTCAACTCACAGCTGCAACAGTTGCACAAGTTTTTCCATGAGGCAATCATCATCCTTCCACGTGCAGCAGAAATGGAAAGGCTATTAGAAATACCCTTCCCTTTCCCAGCTCCACCTTTGTGCAAAGCCAGAGAGTTTCTTCACATACTTCAACCAAAGCAGCGTATTACAGCAGATCGAATGCAGAAGCAGATGTGAGAATCCAATTATATGTACTTCTCACTTCACGTGAAGTAAAAGATGCATATTCAAAGGTCAGGATTTAATCATTTTTAACTGCTTCATTAAGAACAGTCCTACATGAAAGCCAGCCTTTTCTACTTTGACCATGGGACAGTGGTGAACCCGGTGACTTTGGTACCGTTTGGTGCCACCGCCTTGCCTTGCTTTATGTCTCAGCACAGCAGCGTGACCCACCCTTCCTTTGGCACCATTAGCAGAAACGGCAACACAGTGAAAAGGCAAATATGTCTTACATCTATGAAAATAGTTTTGCCATCCTGGACGCCCACCCCCGCCCCAAAAGGACCTGAGGATGGAGAGGGAAGACTTCCAAGAGCCCAGAGACCAAACTCTGAGAGTATGTACAGGGATATTCATTTCAGCATTGTCTGCAAGAGTGGCCAAGTAGAAATGACCTAAAAGCGCATTACTGTGGACAACGGCTGAATAATTCTAATATAGCCATGCCGAGGAATATTATGCAGCCATTAAGCAGAGCCCTTTATACCTTCCTGTATCTCTAAGACATGTTATTAAGGAAAAGGCAAGTTGCAGAGCAACTTATAGGTGTGGCTACATTTAAACACACACAAACTGGGGGGAGTGCATAGCTCAGTGGCAGAGTGCATGCCTAGTATGCATGAGGTGCTGGGATCAATCCCCAGTACCACCATTAAAAAAAAATAAATAAATAAACCTAATTACCTCCCCCCTCCAAAAAAAAAATTAAACAACACACACACACACACACACACAAACTTAGGTGAGTATGTAAAGGAGCTGTAGAAAGGAAACTGGGGTTGTGTCTGCCGTGCTGACAGTGGGCAGCTCTGGAGATGGACCGGCGTCAAGGGTAGGGAGGGAGAGATGAGTGAGGATGGAACCTTCATGTACTCACCTAAACTCCTTAAATCTTTCACAATATGAATTTCTTGTGGAGATTTTTTTTAAACCTCCAGTAAGAATCAAAAATCCCTTTTTTTCCTCCCACGCATCTCATTTAAAAAGATCATCTTAAAAGCTTTTCTCAAGTTTTAAGTTAATGCTTAAACTTCATTTCAGAGGATTTATACCTGTGATGCCAAAGCTTCACTAGAGGGGTTATACCTGTTGTGAAGATTAAAGCATTTGAACTTTTTCACTTTTGTCATTCAACTGAGATATGTAATGACGTACTCTTGTTGAAGAGGAGGACAAAGCGATGGCGTCTGACCCCCTCCCCCCTCACATAATTTACGTGGCTGAACTTTACTTTGCTAAGAATTTATTAAACTGCTCCTAAGGAAAATGTACCTTTGGAATAATCTTGAACTCAGAAAATGTCAACCCAAGACTAGTTTCACCCACCCTGAAAATAGGGAGAAACTGGAAGTCTTTGTTTTTACAAAAAAAGTTTATTTTGAGACCTTGAATTGAGACTATTAAATTCTAAAATAGATACCATTTGTTAGTTAAAGCCTTGGTTATTTGGATTTCCCCAATTTGGGACGGGGCTGGGCTGACATTTTATCATTGAGCTATTCTTAGGGGGAAATGGCCATAATAAGCAATTTAATCATAAATAGAACCGTGTGAGGGGTCTGTTGTCTTCTTTCAATACAATGTAACCCAGTTAAGTGCGCAGGACTGCTACTGGATATGCCGGCTTGACTGTTACTCTCATCTGTTTATTAAGTTAAGGAACGTTTATTAGGCAGTACTTAATTTCTGTTTGCATAGATGTGTTCTTGAAACTTGTACTCCTTTAAAAATATTCTCTAATGTGAATTTATACTAATTTAGGCAAGCCTTTACTCTTCCCCTTCACCTAGTCTAAAATTAATAACATCTCATTTTGTTAAATGTAGAACTTTGCCAGAACATGGTCAAAGCTGTTAAAACTTAGCAAAATCGTTTTGGTATATACATCATGAAGCCACAGTAATAAATGTTGTTGTTATTTTGGAGATTCCTGTGAACGAAGAACGAAGTTTACATCCCCATGATCGCAATGCCTCTTTTCTTCTACTATATTAAACTGTGGTGTCTTTACCAACAATAGCCCTGCATTACACATAGAGGGAGTAATTTTATACGACATCTTGATCTTTTACAGTCTAGTTAGGGAAGCAACTAACCGGAAACTCATGTAATGCACATGAAACTATTGGAGAATAATGTGAAATCAAGTACTAAATTGTGAAGGTGACAAAAACTGAAGTAAATAAGAGTAAAACATGATGGGGTATACGGGGAAGTGAGCATGACCCTGATAGGTTTCTCATTGCTGGGTGTTTTCAGAGCATGTTCATGTGTATGTTCTCACCGATAATGTTGGTGTTACTTCCGTTTTAGAGATGAAAAGGTCAAAGGTCTGAGACAATCTGTGCAAAGTTATAGCTCAGTAAAAGGCAGCTCTGAGAGTAGACTGCTAGAAATGTGGAGTCTGTTCTAATACTCCAGATAAAAGGTTAATAGAGACATAGATTAGAGTGACAGTACCTGAAACAGGGCAGATACCGAAGATGTTGTAGGGAAAATGAAATGAACTTGGTGGTTAATAATATAGAGGACAGAGAAAGCAGAAGAGGCAAAAGAAAACCATGGAGATTTGAGCCAGAGAGAATGAATAGAGGGGGATTGGCCTTGCTAGATATGCAGAAGTTGGGAGAAGGAACCAGGGGCAGAAATTTCAGAGCAAATGTGTTAACTTTTTAGTTGGTTGAGTTTGAGGTCACTGGGAAACACCCATTAGGGCTGAGGGAGGAAGACATAGGGCCATGAATACAAAGGCCCTGATGTAGAAGCAGTCAACCTGGAACAGAGCAAAGCCCCACGTCTGGGGCTCAGTGCCCGCCAGTCAGGGGCAGGGGGAAGGAAAATGAGTGCGATGACGAACATGGCTGAGGAGCACAGTGGTACACGGAGGACCCCCAAAGTGATGGGGCAGGAGTGGGTGGTCAACAGAGGGAGGCGAAGGTTCCTCCAAGAAGCCTTCTGCGCAGACTCATGAAGACGGGGGTGGGGGAGGGTTTTAGTTAGTTGCCACCGAGCAGGGATGGTTCCTAGTTAGATTTTTATAACCAGACACCATCATGACTGTTTTAACAAGTAACCCGCCTGTGTGTTTCAATCCTTCAGGTGGTTTTAGAATGCTACGTAAGAAAGGACTTGGTCTACACCAAAGCCAACCCAACCTTTCATCACTGGAAGGTCGACAATAGGAAGTTTGGACTTACTTTCCAAAGCCCTGCTGATGCTCGAGCCTTTGACAGGGGAGTGAGGAAAGCAATCGAAGACCTCATAGAAGGTATTGGATTTATCGCTGCGTTCTCAGTGGGACTGTAGGAAGTTCCCAGGTTCTTTAAATCCCAGTTGTCTGCCATCATATATTTGTGGTTAATTTGCCAGAGGGTTGGGGGAACAGGTGAGCAGAGGCCAAAGCTTGGGGAACACCCAAGGAGAAGAAACAAAGTGATAGTGCAGGGGAGGAGATGGGGGGCAGAGTAAGGAGGGGTTCCAGTGGATTTTTAGACTCTGCTCTGAAAGGACAAGTTCTGGGCTTCCCTGTGAATGGCTTTTTGATGGATTTCACCTTTCCCTGACTGTTGAAAAACGGCTTTGGTCCAATCTGTCTTGGTTCAGAGGTAGACAGTGGATTCTAATGGGCCCAGAAGCCTCGAGGCCCGCCCACTGTTCTGTAGTGCAAGCCCAGAGTGGACGGCTGCCACCAAAAAAAGGAGAGGGCTCTGTGACTCCTTAGTCCCTGGATCAGCAGCAGGTAGATACTGTGTTGCATTGAATCATGGCCTGGAAGGTCCTCCTCGTGGACTTGTCTGATCCACAGATGCAGAGACACAAACTGTCCACTTCAACACATTGAGTTATCAAATCAGAGGGTTAAAGGTGCCATTGCCAGGGCCCTGTGAAGACAGGAATATCCAGCAAGGCACAGTGAAGCCAAATTCAGAATTTGGGGAGATCAATCACAAAGGAATAAATGTGTCATTTGTATAAGAAATAAATGTATTCTGAAGTCATTTTCTTCATTGTGAATTTGGGGGAAGAGAGAAAAGCAGATCTTAAATGGAAAATCTCTTAGCATCAGTGGTGAGATAATTCTGGCTGGAACATGAATCTGCTCACTGTAGCCATGGGGTAGCCAAAACGAGTAAATCCCAGTCTTCACATCATAGGTCTGACATAAGTGTTTAAAATCGTGTTATTAAACGTAGCTTTGACATGTTTAGAAGAGAAAACAGCTCCTGTATTATTGATAGAAGTTTGCCGTATGTCCATGCACTTAATCACTGAAGCTGCACACAAAATTGGATTCTCTTGTAATTTTTTTCTCTGGATACACTCTTCCTTGCTCTGTTCTGTCAAACTCACCTCAAACATTGATTAAGTAGAGTAATTCAAATAGTAGAGAACAATCCTCCATGATCAGGAGGAACTGCACGCAGGGTATTGTGGGACGTACATTTCCTCCTGTGAATCCCTCACTGGAAATTTAAGTATTTCTCATCCTTTTCTGAGCAAGTCTTTTGGGTTCAATTTTATGTAACAGCAAAATATTTTCTAAATGCACATTTTGTAAGACCTCAGCAAGAAAAGGAGAAGATAGAGACTACATTTGCCTTTTGGTATATCTATCACTTGTGCAAATTTAAATATATTCTTGCTTTTGGCCATTAACAGTGTTGATTAAGTTGAGCCACACGTTACTGGGTGCTGTTAGGAGGAAATGATGAAAGAGATGAACAGGTAAATCAGTTGAACCCTGCCTGAATGACCAGTTCGTTCCCCGATGGAATAAACTGGATTTTCTGACATGAGCTTAAATGTTGGCCTGCAAAAACAGAAAACTCACTGATGCCCTGGTATTGTAAGAGAAAACCTTGCTCAAGCATCAGCTCTGAAGGCGGCTCCCACAGTCTGGGTTTTAGAAGGCAGTATCTGAATTTCAGAACAGGAGGCGACCACATTAGCTACTTAGTCAAACCCCCTCACAGGTAGATGAAAAGCCCAGAGATCGACGTCCAGTTTCACAGTGAGACTGTGGCGGGGCTCACCTGGGGCTCTCCGTTTAGTGCTTTTCCCACTACACGGTGGGGATGTTGTGGGGGCACTGGTGGGGGCTGGTCGTGATGCATGCCCTTCAGAGCAGTGGGCAGGCTCTCCACGCACCCCCTCTGGGGTGCCTCTCTGCTTCTCCAGCGGCCAGTATAGAAGTTTGCGTGATTAATTGGGAACAACAGTAGGCGAAGTTCATTTAGGGAACATCCTGGCTGGAGTCAAGATGAGTAAAATTAAAAGCATTTAATTCCCAGGTTAAGATATTTCTGCTGGTGATTCCCATGTGAAAGGAATAGAATGTGGTTTTATTACAATATACTTTTTAAATGATTGGCTTCGACTTAATCATCTTTGAAAACCCTTTTTTCACGTTTCTTGTGTCGTTTTAGGCTCAACAACATCCTCCTCCACCATCCACAACGAAGCTGAGCTTGGCGATGATGACGTTTTTACAGTAAGTTCCTCTCACATTGTCCTCTGCTTTTGCGATGAGTTGGTGACTAATCAGAGAGAGGTTCTGCTTCGGGGCATAAAAGACACTTTACAGTTTAGCGTTTGCTGTTGCTGCTGGGATGCCGGCAGGGAGATCTCTGGCTTGTCATAATTTTGCTGCCTGGGGTTTGCCCTGGTCACCCGTGTCGCAACGATGCCACGAGGCACATAGTGTCAGCTCTGCTGGAGCTGTCGAACGCTCTCTCACAGTCGTCCTTCACGTTTAGGGTGGCCAGCCGTCCTGGTTTGCCTGGGACTGTCCTAGTTTCAGTGCTGAAAGCCCCAGTCCCACAAAATACATACTTCAGTCCCAGGCATATTGGGACAACTGGTCACCTTACTCTGAGTCTTCCATTAACAACCCCTGCCCCGCAACCTTGCTGGCATTGAGGGGGTTGGGGGGTGGCGGGGAGTAACCATCCTGATGAGTAATTAAACATCTGATAAGAACGTCCTGAAGACCAAGTTGAGGTTAGGACCCAGTGTGCTAAGGCGGGAATGGGCTTGGATATTTTGGCACAGCTTGAGTTAATGGGATGTAACTGGAGACAAAATGGTTTCTCAGCTTGCCTCCTCGCTTAAATTCTGTGCTCCTAGAAGTTAATTAAACAAAGAGTTCAGTGTGCCTGCTGTGGGTTTGACGCAGCGAGGAGCTGTAGGGAGGGCACCATTTTCAAACTCTTGGTCTCGACCCAGAGTAAGAGAGACATTTACATTGTAACCTACGACACACATCCATAGACACCCAAAACCAGATCGTCTATGCTCTGCATTCAGATTTTTTTCTTTTCTTTTTTTGTTTCCTTCTGCTTTTTATTACGAAGCATTTCAAACACACAGAAAAATTTAAAGACAGTACAGTGCACGCCTGTAGACACTACACTCAGAGTCGGCAGTTGTAACATTTTGCCCCATTTGCTTTATCTGTGCACATTTGAGTACTTACACACATACATGCACACACACATTATTTTTTCTACTGATCCAGTTGAAAGTTAAGTCACCTCTAAATACTTGAGCTTGCATCTCTTAAAAATAAGGCATTCTCCTCCACAACCGTAACACCATTACTGCACCAAAGAAAATTAGTAGGAATTTTGTAATATCAGCTCAAAGTTCCCCAATAATTCCTCAGTTGTCCCAAGAGTGTCTTTCATAAGCTAGCTTTTTATTTAATATTTTAAACATTAGTTGCAACCCTTTAAACTTGATTCCTGATGCACTCATCCTGCAACTCGTGATTTGAAAAACACTGCTTTGGGAAGACAGAGGGGTGTGAACCATGACTCCTTGTGGAGGGAACAGGGTGGTTTGGACAGAGATGAGATGAGCCTCTGAGAAGCTTAGAAATTGGCCCAGGATCTTTAACAGGGAGGGGCATGGGGGTCAGAGAAGACCCCGGGTGCTGAGACCGGACTGCACCTCGGTGGCATTGGAACAGGGTTTGGGAAGGCGCTTTGAGGCGGAGGCAGGGATGCACATGGTGTTGCCTGAGCGTTGCACCCTGAAGGGGTGGGGGTCAGGAAATGAACTCAGTCGTGCCTCCGTGGAGTGGCTGGTGTGATGTGGCTCTGAGCAGGCTTCCTACAGCGCTACAGGCAGATCCTCTCAGCAGTTGGCATGTTGCTTACATCTGTTCCTTTGTCACGTTTTGAGAGGCAAACAACAGCAGGCGGGTTAAAAGGTGGCTTCCTGTACTCCAGAGCGAAACTGTCATTTGCAGCTGCTTCCCAGCTACCTGCCAGAAGTGATTTATGGAATCAGGAGAGGGCGAGAGGGAATGGGGTGACGGAAGCCAGCCTCCCTGCTGGTTTTGTCCTTTACTCCACAGGGGATCAACATGACGCTCTGGGGCCACACCAGACGCCTGGAAGGGGGTGCAGACACAGCCCCGCTGCTTCCAGACACCGGGAAACTCACCGCAGCAGGAGTGGGGCTTAACTGCTTTCCTTGTGGGCCCTGGTGCCTGTTGTCTTCCTCCTACTCGCTGACAAACAGGGGCCTATTGATGGCAGTACCTCCCTTCCCCAAGACAGTCCCAGTCCTTAGGCCACTGACTCACAGCATCCCATGTAAGGATGGGAGGGTCGTCAGGGGCCAACGTGTCAGATGTCCTGTTGTTCCCGAGCTCCCTGCGGTTTGTTAGACTTTCAGTCCTAAGAAGTAAGTAAGGTTTCTGAAAGCTGGAGCTAAGGAGGTGAGCGGCTGCGTTCACACCTGTCTAGCCTACAGCTTCCCAAGGTCTTTCGCGTTCTAAGACTTACGTTGGTAAGACAGATGTTTAGAACTTGGAACTCATTTAAGACAGGAGTGTAGATGGTGATATGCCCTCTTACAGCTTGTTCTAAGAGAACAGCGTGTGGACCAGAAAACCTTCAGAGGCACACCTTGAGGAACCAGGAGTATTTCTTTTGTTTCTGCTGCTGGAGTGAGGGGTTTCCCTCTGTTTCAGGGGTTTCCCTCTGTTTCAGGGGCTTCCTCAGGGCCAGGAGGGAAACAGGACACTGTGGACAGCATGTGGTTGCACAGTCTACGTTGGGGAATGAAGTGGAGGAAGGGGCGCCCCCAAACCCCGTGGAGCAGTTGTTTGCTTTGGGTGCTCACCAAGCATGGTCTATCTCTGCTCACACTTTGCCCACTCTCAGCCTCTAAGCCAGCCTGTCTGTCCCCCTGACTTCTCAGGATGGTACAACCACGCTGCAACGCCTCCAAGTGAAATAAGCATCCAGCGTAGCAGGTGTGTGCACACATGTGCAAACACACACACCCTGCCCGTGCATCTTGCCAGTCACCACCACTGTTGCCCCTGCAGTCCCCCCGCGCCTCTCCTGCCACCAGCCTGGCGTGTGTCCACATCGTTCCTGACAGAGCCACCACCAGAGGCTCCTGATTAGCAACTGCTCTGACTCTCTGAGTCTTGGGCTGTTCATCCATCCGTGTGCCTCGTTAGTTCTCCCTCAGCCAATTAGGACTGTTCTCTCTTCTTTCAAATCCTGTAGCACTCTCCTTCGTTTCTCTCTCGCCACTTGAAAGTCTGCCCCTTTTTTCTGGTCTTCATATTTCATTTGCTGAATGAATGATTCTTCATCTGATTAGAAACGGGTTATTCTTCAGAATAGTCTCTGCAACCCTATAACGCTTTGCTGTTCAGGTGCTCAGTAAATGGGTGATCTGAACCCCAGTACAGTGTGGAACAGCCATCGGGTTTCCTGTCTTACTCACTGGCTTTATTGTTATCCTGGGGGACCATCCAAAGGTGGGTAATTTTTAAGGGAGTCTCAGTAGCCTCGTGTCCTATTTTTCCAGCTGTGTTTCCTGCCGGGTCTACAACTAGGAGGTGAGCTCCAAGCATCGCCACTCGCTATGAGCCTTTGGCCGTTCATGCTTCTTGTTGCCTCCCACCGACTTCCTCCCTTGCCGTACAGTCCTCTCTCCTCCACGGGAGACCTCGGTTGCCGTGATCCTCCCAGATGAACACAAACACCTAGGTGGCCAGGGTGTGCCCGGCATTAAACGTGCATGTAGGAGGGAATTCCAGTGCCTGAGCCATTTGGTGCCAATTTATAAGATGAGTAATAGAAAGGATACAAAGCAACGACAACAAAGGCTAGTTCTGTAGCGGGCGTTTCAGGGCATCGCTGAGAGTCAGCAGGCTGTCATCACATCTCCCTCTTCAGAGCTGGGGAGCCTGGAGGGGGACAGAATGGAAGGACCCTCAAGTCGCTTCCTCTGTCGGCTTTTGTCTTGGGCAGGGGTGGGAGGGGGAACGTGCTCTGGCGTGCCTCGTGGAGGAGGCGCATGTGAACTTGAGATATGAACGGTTAAGCTCTGTGAATAGGCTGAGCTGGTTCGCTCCCTGGCTTAGGGCTGATTCCTCTGGGATCCCTGCAGTCAGGACTCTGAGGCCAGAGGGTTTGGAGTCTGCAAGGAAGGGAGTTACCGGGGATGGGGAGAGAATGAGTAAAGGAAATGGATTGTGTAGGACTAGCGAGGCTCCAGGTTTGATGATCATTTGATGAAAAATTTTCCAAATTCCTGTTTTGCAGATTTGGTCCATTAAAATCTGGTGTTTTATTTACCACTACAGAACTCTAAAATCATTTAAAAACGTTATCAGCATCTTCATAGCCAGACAAGGAGAATTTGAATCTGATCTTGGGAGAATGCAGCTGCAGGGTCCATGGACTCGCAGAGCAGGCTCATTTAGAATCTGTGGTCAAGTGTCGTCCATGCTTCAGCTGTCATTCTGCTGAGTGGCTGGATCCTGGCTCTAAAGCAGGGGACTTAGGGAAATATTTGCTTTATAGAAAGATACTTGGGGGTGTATAAAATAGCTGAGACTCCATCTTCCATAAGAAGAAGTCCTTAAATAATATCTAAATCTGCAAATCAGGAGATAGTAGAATAACAAGATGCCATTGAAAAGATGGAGAGAAATACAAGAAGACAGAGCCACAAGAATTGCATGTGTATTTCTCTGGGGAGTGAGAAGCTAAGACGGGGAGAGGCAAGACTGCTATTTGAGATATGAAATGATAAATATATATATATATATATTATTTTTTTTTTTAAGGAAAAACGGGGAGGGAGGCATTCAAGAGAGGAGGAGGAATCAAGCAGTCCTGATCAGTGACAGCAATCCTGATATCCCCCATCTGGGGGTTTAAAGAGATTAGAGAGATGCAACAGGCCGAGTTCCGTGGCTCTCAGTGCTGTGGCTGCTTTTTCCACCTAAGTGTTAGGAAGCAGTGTGTCCACCGTGGAAATAATGGCATATTAAAGGTAGGAGGAATGATGAAGAGTTAGCTGGAAATGTTTGGCTTGCCATCTCCTTAAAATTATTGGTCTTGGAATTGGAAGGGATTTTGAGTTTATATCAGATGAGCCAACCTCCTTCCTTGTGGCAAAGAAGGATCTGCCTCGTTTTATAGACACAGTCATGGATGCAGCTCAGAGTCCGAT